AATAATATTTACTTGTCTAAGTCTATAATATTTACAATTATCTTATTTTTTCGGTAGAATTCTTAATTCACATAAATTAAACATTTGACCTATTATCTATGTAAAACGAACAAATGCAAAGCTTTAGAATATACTTTTAAAATACATTAATTAATATATTTATAAACTACATTTAAAGTTATTTTATTTATTAACGGAGTATTTTCATTAAAATATAGATTATTATTTTGGAAAGTAAAGTAAAAAATTCTTTTTAAAAAAGTTTAATTTAAACTTTTCTATTGCTAATATGACCCTTTAGGGTTTATAGTTAAAGTTTTAGGCAATTGAGAGCTCGTCCTCCACGGGCTTTCTTTGAGAAAATGCAAGTGTGTGTCAAGAGCGACCTGGAAATCGCGCTGTCTTGTTTTGTAGAGGACCGGCAGCTACACAAGCATTGGAAGCTAAGAACCAGAATAGAATGCCAACAGCGAGGACACAGCTTTGGAGCGGTGTGGAGGCCAAAGTCGAGCAAATCACAGAGGCTCATGAAAAACAATATGTTTCGTAAACGATGTCCCTTTGTTCTCATAAATATGTAAACTCGGCTAAGACGCTTGGTGACTGCCGAGAAGAATAGCGTGTACAAGCAGGGAACAAGGATCTGTGGCTCAGAAGATGCGGCTTTGGAAAGGATGCTTTTGAAAACTCGCAAGGAGAACTTACGATCGTGTAATCAGTTTTTTCGTTCAGCCGCTTGTATAGACATAGGGCTTTTTCTTTCTTGCAGGCGATGCTTGAGATGAAACGCCATGAGGTTAGCCAAGAAAGAACAGCCACCGATTGAAGTTCTCGTATGTTTTTATCCAGATAAACAAGCTGGAACAGGCTTGCGAAGTACGAGGAAGTTCAGTCGAAGTACAACTGCTTGTTCCGTCCTGTGGCTGATCAAGTCTATGGCGATCCTGAAATTTTTGGCGAGATGAGGCCGAATGTAATGAACTGTGAAAAACTGTTTAGTATTCCGTGACCTTACAACTCCCCCTCCAGACAACGAGACAACTCAAGAAGAAAACTTGAGATCTCCACCGCTTGTAAGCGACATGATCATCCCGGACAGTGGAGGATGAGATTCCAAGAGAAGAGATTTCCTGTAAGAGAAAATAGCAAACGTCAGCTGATCGTCGAAAGCATCACACTCAGAATCAGAAGGCTTTATATGTCGTCCTTGTCATGACCGACTTGTGGTGGAGCGTCTCGTTACCAGGTTGCCGTTCCAGGAGAGCATTTTTTTCCTTCATTTTCTTGAGTGGCTTATGCGTATCTCCTGATGGTAGTCACCTTGCATTCGTTCTTTCGGGGATGGACAAGGTACTCCTTTCTACTTGGTTTATCGCGTAATGAAAGCAAATCTCTCACAGGAGGAGTGAACTGAGACTTTGAATTGCGAGCATGCAAACGCCAGAGAGCTTATTGGACCTCCAGACTACTGCCTTAATTCCGTATTCGATTCGTAAGCACCTATGTGATGTCACGCCGCCATGTCCCAACAAGGTTATCAACGAGGAAAATCGGGATGTACCAGGAGCAAGCATATGACGAAGACGTTTCGATTATTATGCTACCAGCGAGCTCCTCCTCGTGACCGTCATCTGCTGGTACCTTTTCAGTCCGATTTCCCAAGGTGTGGACGAGATCAGGACGACTTGTACGAGAAGTCGCTGACTTGCCGCTCGCATAGATATGATATACCAATAGCTCATGACAGCGTTCGTCAAGGTCATCCCCTGTTGGTAAGAAAAGAATGTTTTTTTTTCTGTCTTCCTCATTATATGTATATATGTGTTCTACAGGGTGGAAGTGGAGACATAGTGTACACACTTCGTGATAGATTCTAGTGAAGCATAGTAACCGGAGATTCTTCAGAAACTTGATCTTCGCTACGGGTACGTATTGTGTTGCTAAAGTCGAGTCGTTTGTGATGTGTGTTCTTGGCTGGCGTGCTGTTCGATAGATCGTCGGAAGATGTCTACTCAGACCCCAGCTCTCTGGTGTTGCGCAGAACCTCGTTTGGGACTTACGTTCTGGCTCAAGTAAAGACGAGTGATGGTAACAGGAATCTACTGCTTGATGGCAACGGGCAACTCCGGAAGGAAAGATACCGTTCCTTGGTCTTCTCAACATGTAAGCTCGGATGCCTCACTTCACTCGCTGTTGATTTCGCAAACTCTTTCCTTGCAGTGCGGATTTGGCAAAGCCAGAAGGACAAGTACTCTCGACGTGGACAAGCTGCGAATGCTAGCCTCCACTGTACTTTCTTTTGTTTTGGCCCGATAAGAATGCTGTTCACGTCACAAACTTTCCGCATCCTTACCCGCAGCTTGTCAGCCTCCAGAAATTCGATATCCTGCTCTGATGGTGTGCAGCTAACAGCAACGCTCTACTTACCACCCCCAATCCTGGTGCGTAAGCCACACTCATAATGTTGACCTCTACAGTCCACAACAAGGTTGGAGCAGGAACCTTCCGGATTGAGAGCGTGTTGCTCTCCAACTAACTTCTCTGTGAAATCCACAAGGCTGAAGCTGTCAAGTAGTCCTCCTTGTTTTCAACACACTCGCATTAAGATGTATCTCGCCGTCAGTTCTCCGCCTTTCCCTTCGTCCTCAAAATGCTCGTCACGGCTTTCTTCCCGTGCCTGACATCGTTCCGGCCTCTACAAGCCCCCAGCAAGGACTTCCACTCGACACCATCCGCCGCAGACAATGCCGGATCCCACAGACATAGCTCATATATCCTGCAGCTTACTCCGCTGCCAGACCACCTTGGGGAACGGTGCCGATAGCCAGACGTGCATTCAGGACGGCAAGTGCTTGTTCCCGGCTCACTTTCTGCACACCCTCGCACAGCTTCTCAACGTCCCAAAAAGCACTCTCCGCCAACCAGCTTACAAGCAGCCACAGATCTTCAGCTTCACACTTTGGCACTGCATACCTTTCCCGACAGACTGCATCCAGGACCCGAGACTTCTGCCTGTCTTGAAGAATAACGCGGCTGTCACGCCCTCGACCCCTCCACATCTTGCAGTGCTGCTCCAAGGCAACAAGCCATATCCCCTGCATGCCTTTTGACCTTCAGGGCAGTTCTTTTCCACCAAGCTTGCAAAGTGTGGGAGCATGGAGAGAGCTCGTCGAAGATAGAGTTTCGAAACGTTGTGTCGTGCAAGCCTCCCACTCCTCCGCAGAATGCCATCACCCCTAACTTGGAAGTTGCAGTAGAAAACGAACACGCCCTCTTGCTTTAGCTCAGTAACACTCCCCTTGACTGGACAATCAGAAAGCCGTTCATATACTTCGGCTTTGTCTGAGGTGCTCTGAATGGAGCTTTCGTACTCCTTCGTCGAATTGGTGCAAAAGGTGGTCCAAGGTTGGCAACTCCTTCGTACTTCACACTCCAGGCAGAGTTGAGGCCGATCATTGCGTCCCATTTAGAAGTGTCTCCACATTCAGCAACAGAATGTGGAAAGCTCTCCAGTCGCATTGCGTCATTCTCCTGAAATTTCCTCTTTTTCTCTCAAAGAAGGTAGTTACCTTCTTTGATCAAGTTTTTGCTTGTGTTAGGGCTATTTATTGCATATGGTTGCATCTCTTGAAACTTTCACTTTTTGTTAAATTGCCATAATTCAGCATATTAGAACAACATTTTTACCTAAACACTAACCCTAAGCCTTGAATTCAAATTTAATTAGAGAGAAAAATAGAGAGAAAGCAGTTAGTCCGACTGAGACGAGAACACGTCCTTGACAGCCGAGGCCGCAGTGAGGTAATTGAGCGTGTTCCTCAGCGTCTCCTTCTCCCTCTTCAACCGCAGCCCCGTGTCCTCCAGCTCCAGCAACGCCTGCTGCTCCAGCGGCGCCCCCTCGAACGTACTCCCCACCCAGAAACTAAACGGCGTCGGGAACAAGTTCTTGCGCAGGTCCTCCGGCGTCTCCTTGTCGCCCTTCTTGTTCATCCTGTTCGACAGCCGGATCACGTCCTTCATGTACGCCTCCACCTCGCTTGCCAGCTTCTCCAGATCCTCCTCCTCCTCCCCATCCTCCTTCAAACGCTGCGGAGGCTTGTCCTCGATCCACTCCACCTCCGCCACCAAGTACGGCGACGTTCTCACCACGCTCGCCACCCGGAACCTCTCCTGGCCCTTGCAAATGAGGAAGAAGCGATCGTCCACCAGCCTCTCGTGCTTGATCACCTCGCCCACGCAGCCGATCTCCGCCAGCCCCGTCGATCGATCCGTGAACACCACCCCGAAGCGCAGATCCGTCTGGAGCAGCGTGTGCATCATGATCCGGTAGCGGAACTCGAAGATCTGGAGCGGGAGGATGGCGCCCGGGAAGAGGACCAGCGGGAGTGGGAAGAGAGGGAGCTCGACTGGACTGGGACTTCGATCATTCTCTGGCGATGGCGATGGCGATGGCTTGGAGGAGGCGTTGCATCTGTGAGGCCTGGACGAGGGAGCGCATTTGGATCGGCGGAGAGGAGGACTGAGAGAGGAGATCTTTCTGGATGCGGCCCTGGATTTCTGCCCTAGGAGATGCCCGGGAGAATCCGGGCTCCTGGAGAGAGCGAGAGGATTGGACGATGGAGCGGGAGCTAGAATCGCCGGCATTGGCAACATCGCGGCCACGATCGTGGATATTTCGGCTAGACGAGGCTCATCGAGGCGCAGGCGATGGCGATGGGACTGACGGCGCTGCTGCTGCTGCTGCTGACACAAACCCCGGATTTCGACCTTGCCGCCATGGCGCTGGATGGATTGGAGCCGACGACGTACCTGATCGATGCCGCCGACGATCGAGCGCCTTGGAGCCGCCCTGGCCCTCGCCGCGTGTTCTTCGCCCGGAAAGATTCATTGTGGTGAGGGGCGCCGCCGACGTGGCGCAATGTGAGACACGCCTGGGGAATGCATCGCTGACCTACACGTGGACGGCCCGGATGAGCTTAAATCGTCCTAATAGATGCACGTAAAATCTGGCAACTGTATCAACTATAATCCCAGAAGCACGTAATAGAGCAGTGTGATAGGAAGCGATACGAGCATACCAAAGATGACTCTGATAAAAATTGCAAGCACGAGTTAGCTCGTAAGCAAATAAAGCAAAGCAAAGCAAAAGACTTACGCAGTGCTCAGGACGTCTGGATGCACATTGTACTCTTTAGCAAAAACGAAAGGGACAATACCTTGCGGCAAGGCAGCCTGATAGAACACGAAATGGAAAGAAAAGAAACAATCCTTTTGTGAGAAACGAAAGAAAGAAGAAACAAAGTATTCTTGCCTGGACAATCGACGCTCTCAAATCCATATTGCGAAGCCCCGCTGCGATTGAAGTAGCCGACATGATCGCGGGGCTGGTCACAAACCTGATAACCATTCCGATTATCGTCATCGACGTCCCGCACGCGAGTAGCTTTGGTTGCAAAGCCATGAACAATCCTAGGATTTGCTCATCGAGTTTGTCAAAGAAAAACAGAAGAAGAAGAAACTCACCCAAGCTAAACATGGCCATTCCAAGCCCGGCGTCCGATAGAATCGTGATGGAGCCTTCGATAATCTTTGGCATGCGGAGGTTCCATCTGAGTTGCAAAAAACAGTGTGAGTTGGAGAGGTGTAGCTTTCACTTCGAGAAAAGAAAAAGAAAGAAAAGAGAGAAAAGAATCTTACCGGAAGGAAATGAGTGCCCACGTCAAGCCCAGTAAGCTCGAGTACGTGTTTGGATTCCGAACAAGCTTCCTCCACACCATGTCCAGGATGAGCTTCGTCATCACAGCTGTAGACGGCATGTCCGGATCGTCTGGCAGCTTTGCAGCAGCATCCTTTGATGGTAGAAAAGTTTTGATCCATGGCCTGTTCCTTTCCGCTGGAGTCTGAACAGCAGCAGCAGCACTTCCATCCGGTCTTGTCACTGCTTCTTCGGGAACTAATAACAGAGAAAGAGAGACAGAGAGTATGAGCACAAAACAAAGAAAAACGAGTTTGACAATCAAACAACCAATCAAACCAACTGGACATACCTTCCAGCGTTGTTTCGTGTGACATGAGAACTTTCTCGTCCTTCCGCCACAAGAGCTTCGCCGGAGCAGCCACCGACGCTGGCGACCTCGGCGACGTACTCGCACTCCACACGAACATCTGGAGCTCTTTCGCATCGTAGTCCAAGTTGGAGGACGCGCCCTCCTCGTTGTTGTCCTTCTTGGTGATCTGCACCGCCGTCTGCGAGAAGCCCTGGTTGCAAACCAAGTGCCGGAAGTGGTCGTCAAAGTTTGGAGTTCCTCGGCCGCCGCCACCTCCAGTTCGGTACATGTCCAGCGGGAAGATATGATCGTCCCTGACCGAGATGACGGCCTCCCGAGGAGTGTGTACGTTGGACGACTGATTCGACGACTGGAAGACCGAGTCGAGCTCCTGGAGACGAAACGGACTGCCACTCCGGCTGCCGGACGTCATCAGATAGAAATCACTCCGGTCGCTGCTGCGATGGAAGCTGTGCCCCGGAGTCAAGACGCTCGAGGAGTGCACCGAGTATATCTCCGCGTTGCTCAGGTCCGAGGCTCCGGGAGTGCTGGCCTTGGAAGAAAACGCCGTGCTCGTCATCGCCGCCGGAGGAAAGAACGGATTTTTCGTCGCAGGAGCAGTGCGAATTGGTGGTGGCGAGCGCTTGAGCTGGACGTAAATCTTGCCATCTTCTCCCACGGAGGCCTCGGTGGTCAGGCCTTCCTTGAAGCTGAGAGAAACCACGTCCGGATCGGCCTTGACGGAGGCGATGGCAGCGGCGGGCTTTGGAAACTTTTGCGCGACGAGGATCTTTGCGCTGCGGTACTCGAACAGGACGAGGAGGAGCGTGTACCAGACAATGCACTGGAGGACGACGGCTTGGACGACGAGCCTGGAGGGGTCGCCACCATACATGGCGTTGAGCAGCGGGATTCCCATCACCAGCGTGTTCGGAAGCGTCGCCAGCATGAAGAGAGTGATCATCCACTCGAGGCTGCCGCGGCGCGAGTATCTCGTCCAGGCTCCCAGGACCGCCAGGACGATGATCTTCTGGAGAGCGTCGGCGAGGACGAACTTGAGGCTCATGTCGTAAGGATTGTTGTGAGCGATGATCTGGAAGGAGAGGAGCGGCACCGCGAAGATGGCGACGAAGCGGTTGATGCCGGAGCACTGGTCAGGCGTGAGGATTCCCCACCACCTCACGGAGGCGTAGGCGAGGAGCATGGCGACGTAGAGTGGAACCATTGCCGCCATGACCGTGTAGAACTCCGCCGGACTTATCATCTTGTCGCCGAGAGAGAACTTTGCGAGAAACTTGATGGATGATCTCCTCTTCTTCGCCGAGAAAGAACTTTGATGGATGCTCTTCTTCTTCTTCTTTCGTTACTGGACGAGACTGAATTTTCCTGGCAGCGCAGCGCGATCCATAGATTGGACTGGAATAAATCCCCGAAGAAATATGAAAGTCACACGCGTGACGGAAACCCGATGAGATAGCGCTGGTGCCAAGTATCGAGGAAAGATTGTCGTCCCATGCTATATAAAAATCAGCGTTTCTTCTTTGCGTTATCAGTTACGCTGCATTGCGTCTCGCAGCCTGAAAGAATTCCATTAGCTCATTCGTTTGAAATTGAAAATCTGAATGCAGGCGAAAGAGAAATTTTGAGTTTACCCGACGACGAGGAGCAAGAGCACGATGCCCGGAACGAAATTTTTTCTAGATGTGATGTTGGCGAAAGTCACGCTTTGTTCAACCTCCATTGATGGATTACTTGACAAGCAAGCGGCAGCAGCACAGTAGCTTTCCTGTCATTGAGAGGCGAAAGAATGGAAATCATTGGCAATCTGCAACGAGATCTCTCTGCTTTTATCTCGTTTTTTTTTTTCTCTCTTTTTCGCTTCGAGAAGACCGCGAATCCGATATGGGATTGTTCCGCAATTGATGTTTTTGTAAGGAAAGAAGGTATGCGAACGAAAGCAAGGAAAAACAAAGGACAACAATGAATAAAACGAAACAAAACTCGGCAGAAAAGCGAGGGAGAGACTCAAATTTCCCTCCGACGACACGCAAACCGTGCGACGAAGGACCTCCAATTCTCGTCACCGGCAAGACGGTGGAATAATGCGACTTTCTCCGGACCAAGAAACAAAACCAGCGAAGAAAAGCAGACTGGAAGAGAGGGAGACGAGCAAAAAGGAAAAGCGTCCTCTGAACCTTCAGGGCAGTGCACAAAGAACTTGCCACTGAATCTATCCAATAAATACACAGAACAGGAAGGTAGACAAAGCTACAGAGAAAAAGAGCAAAGAAACATCGATAGACAATAATTTGATGAGAAACCAGAAAGCCCAAAAAAAAACTCTGCTGGAACTGGAACTTCAAACAGAAGAAAATAAATTTAAAAACACTGTATTTAAGAACAACAACTCGAGACAATGACAAACAAAGAAAGGGAAGTGTGGCCTCTTTTCCGAGCCGAGAAGCCAGATGCCTTTCCTGTGGCACTGTACGCACACGTAGCAAATGTGGCAGCGGCAGAGTAATATTAAACACTACTCCTAGTACCAATTCTGATGCGATGCGATGCAGAGAGGAACAAAGAAATAAAAAGGAGACAGCTAAGAAAGAGAGATGCCAAATTTTTACCTCACAGCACGCAAGATCCGATCCTTCATTCGACTGTTCCTGCGCCGCGCAGCGATCGTCGTCCTCCTCCTCCGCCATACCGCAGAGTTCAAGAGCCCTAAAACCCCAAACCCTAAAGTGTAAAAGGAATATTCCTGTTTAAATCAAGCAAATGTTTGATTTGAGTGGCATTGTCAAAGAGGTTGCATCACCAGCAAGCAGGGGCTAGATTGTTCAATCTCAGTCTCCATGTGTAAAGCCATGTGCAGCTGCAGCTGCTGGCCACCTTCACTTCAGAAATGTTGACCCACCAAATCTTTCACTTCTTGAATTCAACCTGCAACTCCTTCTTTGCAAAGCCCAGCAGCATCAAATGCCTATTGCACCACTAGTACCAAACATTGGCATGGAACCAAGAGAAAGCACACACACAGCAAGAATTGCCAGCTCAACTACTAGAAGCTGGGCAAGCACCACTCACTTTTCTGTCTGCCTTGCTATTGACATACATTCCACTTTAAATAAAATAGAGTGCATGGAGCAGGACAAAGCCATGTAGATTGGTAAGTGTCAATGCCTGACAGTTAAGTAGACATGTTTCACACTAGACACAACACAGGAGGCACGCTCCATCAGAATAGCTTAGGGCCCAGTATCAGCAACCTCGAATAAAATAAAAACGAAATAACGAAATAAATAAATAAATATAAGAAATGAAGTGTTATTCCTCGTATTTGGCGTTTCGCATTTGGCACTTGGCAGCTTTGCTTCCGAGCCAAAGCATTTTAAAAAAATATACTAGAAATTTAAAGAAAAAGGAAACGAAGACGTTTGGATCCAATCAACCCTGTGATCGTCTTTGTCTGTCAGCCCTGTCTGTCCCTCGGTGCGCTTTGTCAACAAACTAGCCAGCTTGGTCTTCTTCTTCTTCGTCTTCTTCTCCTTCGTTTTCTTTCTTTTCTCCTCGACAGCCATTGTTCGTCCTGATGGTGTGCTAGATTTGATTTGATTGATCGATTGCTGCTTTGCTTCCAGCCGGCCATCACCAAAGAAAAGCGCAAACCAGCCTCTCTAGCTAGCTTCTCTTTCTCTTTTGCCAAAAGTCATTCTCTCCTAGTAGACAAAGAGGCGAGCATTAGAAATATATATACATCTATATACAAACCAATGGACGTAGAGAAAGGCTAGCATATACAAGGCATATCCAAAAATAAAAAACAAAAAACAAAAAATGAATCGGTGGTCGCTCTTTTCTCTGTAAAAACAAAGAAACAGCAAACACACAAACGTAATAAGAGATTTGCCATATAAACACCACAAATCAACTTGTGCTCACCTGTCACAGTTGAATAAAACTGTAACACACGGCTTCTTTAACAGCTCTCTTTCTTTTCCTACGTGTTCTTCGTCAAGATCGGGGTTGTAGCGACGAACTCATCGACCTGAGCTCGCTGGCAATCTCGGCAAACGATGGCCTCGCCGAGGGATCGGCGTCCCAGCAGCGTTCCATCAGAGACCTCCACGCTGGCTCACACCAATTTGGAATCGGTGGACGAAGCGTGTTGCTAACAATGCCACCTGGTTTTGACACGAAAAGCTTCAAGATGAAACGATCTCGAAAAACATCTCACCTATGATCGCTCCGTAGTGCATGTTTGCATAAGGCTCCTCTCCGGTGAGAAGCTCCCACATAACTATCCCGAATGAGAAAACATCCACCTGATATACCAAAACACATCGCCGCTATAAAACCGAAAGAAGGATTCTGGGTGCCGAAGTCACTTACTCTCTCACTGACCATACAACTCGAGGTGCTCAAGAGCTCAGGAGCCATCCACGGCAATGTTCCTCGGACGCCACCAGACACCATTGTCTGGCGCTTAACTTTCGACAGTCCCAGATCTCCAACCTGGAAACGTGCACAGTCACTCACTACAAAGCGAAAGAACGAGAGACGAAGATATCATTACCTTGCACACTGGCCGATGTGGATCCCTCATGTTGACCAGCAAATTCTCGCACTTCAGGTCGAAATGAACGATGTTCTTTCCGTGTAGATACTCCATCCCAAAAGCAGCGTCTGTTGCTATCAACAGTCGCTTCCGACGATCAATGGTTCTGAAATCTGGCAAGTTAGCCGATACAGTCCATCCTCTTTTGAGTTCACGTACCTGTCTTTCTTCTGAAGCACTTGCTTCAACGATCCATTTACCATATACTCTGTGACGGTTGCCAGCGTTCCGCCAGGGCCATCGGGAACCACGCCGTAGAAAGCCACAACATTCGGATGGTGGAGCTTACTCAGCGTGCCCGCCTCTCTCCAGAAATCAAGTATCTGGAAGAAGGTTGTTCAGTTTGGAACGTTTTAATGGGAGGATACATACCAGACGATCTCGTTCCACCGGCCTTCCTTCGAAACAGCTCGCTTTTATACGCTTAATCGCGACATCTGTTCCCCTCCACTTTCCATGGTAGACTGTACCATATGTTCCAGATCCGAGCTCTCGGATTTCCTCGAGATCGGAGTTTTTTATTATCTAATCATAACATCAAAAGCATGTTAGCCGAGTCAACGACAAGAAGAAATAAACAAAATTACCTGCAAGCCACGAGATTTCGCTTCCTGTTCCGCAGCTAACGAGATATCACCTGGAGGAGGAGAGTCATGGCTGGCTTCAGCCTGAAAAGACAGGTTAGCTAAAGAGGATATAAAAACAAGAGACCACCTTATCATGAGCTTCAACGCTAGTATGCTCTCTACATGCCTCGTTTTCGGTAATAGGCTCCTCGTCACGGCAAAGAACTTTGTCCCAGTTCTGCACAGTCAACGTTGGTTGTGGCACCAGATCCAATTCCTGGACAGGTTCAATCTCCTTCTGAACTGGAAAATTTGACGACGTTGCCGGAAACTCGTAGTTGGACCTCAACACTGACGAAACCATGTCTTCCGCCAGATGACCAGTTTCCGACATCATGTGAGAAAGCTTGCGGGATGCGTCGTCATCAATTTCACTCTTCACAGCACTTGCTTCGAGGTCCCCAGCCCCAATGCTCCGATTCCACTGAGATATGGTATCGAAAATGGGAAGACTAACAGAAGGAGCACAACTGTAAGCTGCGGATGCCTGCTGACTCTGAGCTGCTGAACCAACCTGGCTGACTAGACCTGTAAGATTATTATTGCTGGAAGGCCTAGCGATGTTTACTCTCGCGCTAGAGCCCGTATCAGTGAGGAGATCCGGTGTCTCGTCTTCGGTCATCCATCTGCTGCCAAATCCTGTCTCGGAAGTATTTATCCCTGACGTCGATGACCGGTTCAATGGCTGGGAGTCCATAAATTTTGGAGGAACCTGACTAGAGGGCCCAATGCCACTTCCGTGCACCACAAAAGGCAGCGAGTTCGTAACAGCTTGGCGGAGCTCAGGCTGCAGGAAAAAGAAAATATATAAATGTAAGCTTCAAAAGAGAAGAACACGAGGCGAGTGGTTTACCTCGATGAGTGGTTTTTGATTCCTAAGCCCCGAGTCTTCTGCTTCCAAGTTTCTCTCTTGCCAGTCGACGACCTCTGGTTGATGGCCATGAAGCGAAAGTTGCTCCATTTGCACCAGATGGTCTTGGTAATCAAATCTGGGATTCAAGTGCGGAGATGTTTTAACTTGGCGCCTTGGCTCGCCACCTCTTTGACCATTGTCCGGATAATAGAAAGAATTTTCCTGATATCCTGGACCGTATAGGCCCATAGGTTGCCTGGGTAGCATCTCTGGTCCTTGCTTCTTGTCGAACATAAGAGCCATAGCCACTTGATCCGATGGAAACCGCTCATGATGTAGAAACGGCAACGGTTCATCAAGGTGATGATCACGATAGCGAGGTGGCGACGATGAAAGCCTGTAGCCCCGACCGGATTCTTCGTGTGTATGAGGCCTCCTTCCATATTGATGGTCGACGGGATTTCCAGGATACGGCCTATGCACACTCAACTGCGGATGGAGTCTGCCATCACGGTACGCTAGTCGAGGTGAAGATGGCGACGATCCAATCTGATATGGAGCTGAGTGAGCTCCCATCCCGCCACCATCTCCGTGATTAGAGTTTCTCTGGTACAGATGACCAGGACAATAGTCCTCGTGCTGGATAAAGTCGTGGCCTTGATAATCGTCCGGAAGCTGGTGGCGGTGGTATGCTTCAGCTCTGTACACGGGATCCTTGAGATACACCACCGGCTGCGCTTGTTGGTGCTGAAGCATATGTGGGAATCCACTGTCGGAGTGCTGAAACTCTGGCCTCCTGTAATCCTGGTTGCTATCGAGAGGGTGTTGACGATGTGGCTGCGGCGGCTGCACGACGAACCTTGGCCTCGGCTCCATAAAAAGGTCGTGAGGTAGCAAGTCCTGCTGCTGCTGCTGCTGGCTGTCATCAAGTTGCTGCTCCTGAAGCCTTGAAAGCTTCCCATGAGAGCCAACCCGAGGCATCTTCGTCTCGTGAGGATAGCCACGTAGAATCCGGTCATGATCATGCGTCACCTCCGCTCGAGAATTTGGATAGTAGTGATCCAAGTCGAAGTGGCCTACGTCCGTGTTTAAGTTCCCAAAGTGCTGCTGCTGGCTATCATCAAGTTGCTGCTCCTGAAGCCTTGAAAGCTTCCCATGAGAGCCAACCCGAGGCATCTTCGTCTCGTGAGGATAGCCACGTAGAATCCGGTCATGATCATGCGTCACCTCCGCTCGAGGATTTGGATAGTAGTGATCCAAGTCGAAGTGGCCTACGTCCGTGTTTAAATTCCCAAAGTGCTGCTGCTGTCCTTCCGATGCAAACATCCCGTAAGCATGACCCCCAAGATTCCTGGCATACGGCTGCTGTGGGACTAAAGCTGGCGACGACGACGCCGAGTTAAAGGCCCCCTGTAGCTTCTTAGCGAGTAACTGCTCTTCGAGGGTGGCGTCTAAAGCAACAAGATTCTCAGCGCTGGGACGAGCACTAATGCCACCGCCACTGACCCCACTCTCGGATTTCCTCGACCCCGTTTCCAGCAACCCGTTGACAGCCTCCACGTACCACTGCTCGGACTTTCTCGGGTCCAAAGGATCGATCGAGAGGCTCTCACCATCAGCAACCGAGAAGAGAAACACCCTGAGCCGCTGCAAGCCATCGTTGTCCTCGAGCCGGTCATACTCCTCCATCATGTTTTGCAAGTCCTCGTCGGTAGAGACCGATATCAATGCGTCCAGATCCTCGTTGGGCAACTGGTACTTAAGTGACAGATCCTCCCCGTAGTGCTTCTTCATCTTGAGCATGAGCTCCGCGTAGCTCACGTCCCTCTTGAGGCTCACAATTCGCGTCTCGCCACCAACGTACCGGAGCTTTCCATCGGATGGACGTGGAAGAATTCGCCCACCAAAGCTACACATGAGCTTCACGCGTGAAGGCGAGGCCTCTTCTCTCGATCGATTCTGGCCGCCTGGAAGAACGAAGCGAGGGATAAGCGAGAGAAAACATTTCGCCATCCAGTATCGAGATATTTATACCTGAGTCGTAATCCAGGCGTCCCATGGCCGGGGATCCAATCATTCCCTGGTCCGTCCCGGATTCATCGTCCTCAATTGGGGGCAAGCTGTCGATCGAGGACAGAGATCCGCCATCGGGGAAGCACTGCCATGTCTGCACGGATCTCCCGCTGTGAAATCCCTCCTCGATATTGGGGCCGAGCTTGTGCTGCTGCTCCATTCCAGCTGAAATCGCAGAAATTCCAGTGCCGCGCCGGTAATTTCCAAGGACATTATCATCAGACACAAGCATCATCGGTCGAGGATGGATCTTCTCATGCTGGAAGCACACAACACAAGCATTGGATCATCGCCGAGGCCACGCGAGAGAGGAAAGAGATCGCGAGATCCGGGGAGGAGAGAGCGACATACCTTTGGAATTGGCAAAAAACCCTAGTCAAATTCCAAGAGCCCTAATGCACTCACTCCACTTGTAAAAAAAAGTGCCGCATATAAGAAATATATTCGAGTGGATATACAAAAAGCATATTCACCGTACAACCTTAGCGTGGACACGTGGAAAAATATAAACCGACACATAGCCAACATCTGGCTATAAACAAAATGTACTCTAGCGCTTGTTCGTCTTGTTTGTTCTTCCATTCTTTCGACGTCCCACTTTCCTGGAGAAGTTCTAGCTCGCCTTCTCAGTTCTTCCTAGAAATCCTTTCTTCGTGCTATGACGCTCTGGCACCCGATTGCTCTGCGTTTTGATCCGCTGGTGGTGGAACGCCAGTAGCACCCGACGCTGCTGCTCCATTGTCTGTGACTGGAATCGGCCCCCACTTACCGTCGGGTTCCAATGGTTCCACAACGAGAACTCCACCGTCACTTAGTCCCAGAGCGAATTGATACTTCTCGGTTGGATGAGCGGAGATTGCTAGAGGGTACACCGAAGTCCTGTCACGGAAAGAGAGATTATTGTCTTGGCTCACGGAAACAAAGAGAGGTGTAAAAGATTTTGTACCCGCTAGCTCCAGGAGGAAGATAAGTTGATGGTGCTAGACGGCACCTTGGCCGTAAACCATCCGTCTCAAACACTCCCACGGAGCCATCGATGAAAGCGGCATAAACGAGCTCGCTGTCGCATGAAAATGTAGCACTCGAAACGGAAGCAGGGAAGGGGTCCCGAAGATACCACTGGAAAGAAACAATGTCATGAATAGCTTGTTCATGGATCAAAACATGAAAAAATAAATACTTGCCTGATGGATTGGTTCCAGCTTAGCAGCGTCGTATATTGCAAGCTGAGTCTCGTGCACAATCAACAGCCGCGTCTGATCAACGTCGAACTGTACCCTCGTGTCACCAGTGGGAGTTGCATCTTTCCCAGGCGGCATTTGAATAAACTTGGACTTTCTTTTATCCCATGCATCGGTTCCCCAAACACAGAGCTGGAAAACAAGAGATTGTGAGAACAAATTTTATCTTTCCAGGGCAGTTGGTACCTGTCCGTCAGCCCCAGACGAAACAAGAATATTAAGATTATTGGAAAACGCAAGTCCCGTTATTCTCTTGGAATGCCCTTTTAGTTTGCTTTTCACCTGAAAGCGAGTGCAATGTTACAATGAAATGCTAATCAATAAACCATGACGCAAATCGGTTTTCCATACCTCATCGACACGAACGTTGTATATATGGATAGCCGAATCCTCCATACCGATAGCAATAAAATTATTATCCTGAGGATGAAAAGCGAGGAATGTTGCTGCTGGCGGAGGCGGCATGAATTGTGTCATAATCTGTTTCGACAATGGTTTCATCACTGGAGAAAAAGCAACAAATCGGCATACCTTAAACGTCATCATGTTGAAAAGCAGAACTTTTCCACCCGAGGCAGACATCACATACGAATCATTTTTAGACAAGGCGATGCACGGAACAGCTTCTTCTGGATCAGTTTCGCCCACATCATTTGTCATAAAGCCCGCACTCGGAGGTTGCCATAGCTGGGGAGCAAAATTAGCAGTTGCCTGCATCAACAGATAAACGTTATTACTGCAACACTAGCAACAGTAATTTACCTTCCCAGCCACATTCCAGTCGTTCTTTTGCCATTTCCACAATTTATGAATGGCGTTTGATCCAAGTGCAAGAAGTGCATTTCCGGCGTTAGTGTAAATTAGTCTCAACACCTGTCAATCCTTACTAGTTACCCAGTTTATGCAAAGACAAAAACGTACCTTGCTCGCAGCCATTTGATCCCCTAACCTTATTGACCGGCAATGGGCTTGCTCAGTTAAATCAGCTAGTTTCCAATTCTTTTTGTCAATTCCTTCGTCTGCACGCGGTTTTACTTCGACAGCACGACTATTTTCAGCGCCATTCTGTTAAAAACACGAGTTAACACATCGCAAACATCCAGACAGTTATGTACCGGTACTGCAGCCGGAACTCTATCTACAGCGACTACTGGAGCAGTTACTCCACTTACTGCTGCAAGCGTGTTAACCGCAGGCTGAAAAAAGAAAAGTTAGAACACAGTAAAGAAAGATGTCAGAAAGCCATACCTTCACCTCATTTACTTTCTCAATCCCCCTATTCAAAAGCCGTAAACCGTCGTTGTTAGCTAGAATTCTGATGGAGTTGTCTTGAGTGGTTACAGCCAGTAATGTTCCTTCTTTGTTAAACCGTAAACGAGGGCTTGGCTGTGGAGAAAGAACAAGGAAGAATTTAGCTGATAGCAGAACGATCTATTGAAGAACTTACCGGAAGACCACTGTCGGCATCTATCGTCGTCAAAAGATTAATATTATCCATATCCCATATTTTGATGGAGAAGTCGTCTCCAGCAGCCAAAAACCGATTCCGTGTAGTATCAAACTGAATCACATTGATGGAGCGTTTCCGAAAACCATTGTAGGTGTTTTTTATTGCACCTTCACTTTCATTCCACTCCACAAGAAAAGACTCACCATCCTTGCTTGTTCCACAAGAAAACAATCTGGAAAACAAAGGATGTGATGGAAATACCAAAGGTTGAAGCAAACCTTGTTCCATCCGCACTGTAAGCCATTGTTGTGCACCAGCGACCAGGAGCATCATAATCTACTCGAGAACCGAGATTATCGTAAAGCCAAGCTTTGATTTTACCATCAAGTGCGGTGGAAAATATAAACTGCAGAGCAATAACCATAAACCCATAATAAAGAAAACGGCAATGGATACAGACCTGTATGCTTTCTTTATGATGTGGACATACAGAATACACTGCTGCCTCATGACCTTCAAATACATAAATCTTGCGAGCGGTCATGGCTTCCCAAACCTACACGTGAAAACCGATATAAGAATGCCGAACAAAAATCGATAGCAGAGGTAACCTTTATGGTCTTATCGTCTCCACAAGTAATAACACAGAGTTGCTTGTTGGGATGAGAAAATGCAAGGTCGTTGACTCCACCAACATGAGCATCGATCTGTGATTTACATGTTAATCCAAGCGCAAATGATTGAGTTTACAGTCGGTACCTCGTGAAGTTGCCTAAGCTCAGATGTTCCATTGTACATATAAAGATGAATAATAAATTTGGAGAAAGCCACACCTACAAAGGAAGGCATGAGCATGTATATGAATAAAAACTGGGAAGTTACTTACCGATAAGAGCTCCATCTGGACTCCAAACCACCCTGTGAACAAGAACAGCTGGGTCCTTCACAAATGCCGTCTGCAAAGGTGCTATGTCATGACACGGAAAAGAAAAAGAACCAAATTCTACCTGCATCGTAACAGAACATGCAGAAATATCCCACACTTTGAAAGTCCGATATGCCAATTTCTCTCGCGATGCTACCTCCCAGATGCTAATTTCGCCAATATTTGTACCCACTACAAGAAACAAGGGAAAACAAAACGTAAACAGAAAGACAAAATGCAAAATAACTCACCAAGCAATACGGTTTGATGCATTGGATGAAAGTCCATGCTAGTCACGGACGACGTCTGGTTTAAAGTTCTAGCATGTGTCTTTGGAAGATCGTCCAAAGTAGCGTTGCGTTGATGACTTGCTCCAGCATAGTTCACCTGCACAGGAAACATAATTATCAAATAATGAGAAAAGAGACCTGGTGATCACACCTCGTCTGCCTGAGGACGCGGGCGTTTAAGAATGTGTTCCGAATCTGCCGACTGATAGTCAATGGTCGAATTTGCCGGTGGTGTTCTGGGACGCTTCAAAAGAGCAGCTGCAATTGATACAGAGATCAAAAAATATGATAACGGAATGTCCACTTACATACCTGGATTTGGCGGACCAGCTAGCGCCTGGCCAGGAGCTACTGCTGCGTGAGGGGCTGCGGAATTTGCATTTCCCATCCAACCGGCTAGCGCACTTGCAGGAGGACCAGCAGATGGTTGAAAAGGCTGAAAAGAAAAAGAAAAAACTTAATGAAATTCCCTTCTCAATGGAACACAAGCCTCTTACCCCGTGTGCTCCAAGTGGAGGGAAGGCCGCAGTTTTCTGCATCGCTCCAACTAAAGGATTGTTGGCAGGCGGAGGCGCACGCGCTCCGTTCGGAGGACCACAACTGTGATCGATAAATAAAGTTTTGATGTCGGGATTGGGCCGAGGATTTTTACATAATTGATGTTGCCAATTCAGACTGCAGCAGCACATTTAGAAGGGATAAATGAACCAAAAAAGTGCCAACCTCTGGTTGATAAGGGTGCGAAGCCGTGATGCCTTCAATGATGGAAATTGATGTTTTTCTCTAAATAGAGGATTCGCTTCGATGAGTTTTTTAAGTTCGATAAGCATTATATTTCTTGCGGATTTCGTATCTCCATACTTCGACAGTTGGTCATTTTCTCTGTGAACCAGCGGGTTAGACAAGAGAAAAGTAGAGAGTACTGGCATTACGAACCTAAAGTTGTCGAGAGTAAGAAGCTGTGTAATCTCTTTGTATAAGTCCTCATTGAACGACGCAAACACCTTGAGGTCCTTGACGAGAATCTCAACGGCTTTCGCTCTGTCTTGCCTGACGCCAGAGAGAGGTAACAAACCCGTTAGCTACCAGCGAAGAAACGAATCAATAGCAAACAAACTCCTTACTTGTCCAGTGCTTCCAAATACTTTTGCTTGCGAATTTCGAAAAAGATCTTCATTGAATAGCGATTGTCATCTACCTTGGTAAAGCCCGACAAGTAACGCTCCACTTCATCCCATTCCCCGTTCTGAACTTGGTCCTCGAAATACTTCATGTTGAAAAAAAATCCCGACTCTTGCTCTAGCCTGACCACCACAGCACGCAAATGATGTCAACACAAGTACGTGTACGAAATTTATCTCATTTTTTTCTTTCCTATTTATCTCTCCTTTTTTTTCTTTTTTTTTACTTACTTGTGAACAGTCTCCTTGAACTTCTCCTCGTCGAGGAACTGGAGGATGAGGAACACGAGCTCCCTACTGAGCGACGACATATCTTTTTGTATGTCACACACCACAGCCGCTATCAGAGCAAGAAAACCCCTTTCCTTCCCTTTCTTCCGCCGCCTCCCCTGTATCCCCTAATCCATGCTAAAATCTCACCCGGGAGCCGAGCACCGCCGCCTCATCGCGCCTTCATGCACTGCTCGGCAATGGCGGCGCCCTGGATCTAAGCCCCGAAAATCTCCGAATGCCAGCACCTAGCCCGAGGATCTGGCGCCGGCGATTGGAGACGCGCCGTGCGCTACCGCCGTGATGCGCCGCGCCCTGGAATGGGGAAAACCTAAGCGCGATTTCAACGCGAAGAAGGAGGACGAGCACAAAGACAAAGGCACTCTCAGACTGGCTGGAAGAGACCATATAAACGAAAGATAAAAAAAATTATACGTGGGAGCGCTTATCACACAAACACGAACTGGGCTGGCGGCAGAGAGGAGAGAGAAAAAAGACATAAAAGAAAAAAAACAAACATGGACAAAAATGTGTGGTTGCTCGAAAATTCCGCGGATTATAAAATTTTAGATGCAAATTCCAGGCTTTAAAATGGCTCTTTTCTTCTTAAATTTATTTCGGGGAGTTCCATTTTCAGCCATAAGGTAGCTGATATGTCAGTTGCCTTATCGGATGATAGGCTATCATGAACTTAAACTGAAATTCCCACTAGAGGCTAATCTGGTACTAAGCATTCTCCAATCTGACAGTGACGACGAATAAGAAATCTCGGCCGTTGATGTCACCAATCGCATCCGTCCATTCACTGACTTATCATTTGATAGCGTATCAGGTGATAAGCGATCTGTCGAAATAAAGACCCGATAACCGCCATCACTTATTGCTTGGGATACGTGAGGTGCTGGCAAGATGTGCAAGGAGTGGCCAGGGTGGTCAGTAATGCCCTGTGGCTCATTTCATCCTTGTGTGTACGGATGCCTTGACTCTCACGGTGACTCTGACCCCTCGTCCTTTTGGGTCGCGGTTTAAAACACACTTCAATGGGTGGAGCACTTACATTTTTTAACCCCACCCACGATTTCTACTTCCGAAAAGAAAATTACTTTTGGTATATCTTGTAAAATATTGTGTGGCTAGCGTACCTTAGGACAGGCAGTATTTTGGTGGTATGTGGGGGCACACGGAAAAGAATATCACCCTTACAAGTTATCTGAATGGACCATGTAGTTTGGATCTAACCAGGGTAAGAAACTTCCTTCAATATTATATGGTCTGCTTGTGCCCGTCTAAGACGCATGGACCCTATCTACATAGATGCAATGCATTAGACTCCCTTGTTAAAATATACGTATTGATCTAGAATGAGATTAACTTATTAGACAACGGTCTACCATGATCTTGACAATTCCGCGGGAAAGCAGTAAAAGCTATCACGAAACCATGTTCTTCATAAATTTACAAGGGCATCTCTGACCAGCGTTAAAGAACATATAATTTTAAATGGTTTGACAAATTCTTCGAGCTCACACTCTTTACGCTCTCCTAGCGTACGGCACAAGTAAACAAATGTCGATCATTCATGAACTCAAGGCTTTGGGCGATTCAATCCCAGCTCCGTACGCGAGCTCTATCGATTTTGATGCAAGAATCCGCGTCACGCATGCCTGGAAATATGTGTTGTGGCAATGCATGCATGCACCGCAAGAATCAAAATTAAAAAAAAAAAACAAAATTCTATACGGAAAAGCTCATATGAGTCATATGTCTATCTATAAATCAAGGTGGCTCCTCCTGGATCGTTGCAGATCACTCCAAGCATTTCTTACATCATGCCTTGATTTCAGCAATTTCTTCACGTACGACACAAGTAAAATATAGAGATCCTTCATGATCTCGCACAGTCAATCCACTTCCGTACGCGGGCACTATCGACTTTGATGTAAAAAATGCTCGCTGCCTGAAAAAAACGTGTTGTGACGAGAAACGCATTCACCCAAAACACAAAAACAAAAAGGAAAAATGGAAGAGAACCTTGTTCTTCATTGCCTTGCCTGGTTTTACCTGTACACACACACCCCCCAAAACTTCTGGATACCACGGTGGTGGATCCGCATTACCACCGTCGAGGTTGGTTAGCTCCCAATGTGAGTACCTCGTTACTCGGCAGTAAGCTGTTCTTAGTCGTCCTCGTCGCGCTCAAAGTGTTTCGCCGGCTTGTTGACCTTACATGTCGTGATGCACTGCTTCTCCAGAGCTTTGTACTTCTGGTAGTCGAATCCCATTCGTCTCATGAGCCTTCGCCGCCGGCTGGCCAGCAGCGAGTGCATGAGCCCCTGGTAAGTTGGATCGCGGCGGCTGAACAGGAAGTAAGCGTAGCCCGCGATGATAAAGCCCGTTGTCATGAAGAAGGCGATGGGTTCCATCACGTCCCAGGAGAGCTCCCAGAAAGTCAGGCGGACGAAGAGCCCGGTCCCGCCTGTGAGCGCCAGGAGCCCCACCCAGAGGAATTTTCTGACTTGCCTGTCCGCGATCTCGTCAATGGATTCCTTACGGTCGTGGAGCTCCTCGAATTCCTTCACGCGGGGATCGTCCTCACCGACCAGGCGGAGTGGAAGTGCGCGAGAGACGAGCTCAGCGATCTGTCACGAGGAAAAAGATAGAACGCGCGTCAGAAACGAATATAAGTTTGGCAGTCTTATCAAGCATGGTAAGCAAAGATCGATTTGAATTCTACTCACGACCCAAGACAAAGACTGACAACAACCAGCCAACCAACCAAGTCAGATTTCGACCGAGAAAATCGCATGCTTTCAACAAGGGAAAGAAAAACTCAATCCAGGAACAGCCACAAAAGCCATGGCACAGAAAAATAGTTGTGGCCTGGTCTTAATCACGCACAGAAACAGAGTTCCGACACAAGCGACGACAAGCTTTCAATCCATCAAACAAGCTAGACTAGCGGAGCAAACAACGAAACAATCTTAGAAACAGAAAAGGATACTTAACTCGAGGAAACGAGTAAAGAAGCCTAGCAACGAAAACGATCAACTTTCAGAAACCAAAACTAGCGAGCAAACGACCTTGCAAAACAAACAAACCAAAGAAACAAACCTTCTTCTCAGCTCAATCAAAATTCAAAGAAACACACAGAAGGAAAGGCTCGATGAAAGAAAAACAAAATACCCAAGCACGCAAACTCGAAAGAAAACAAGGGCAAGGAAAGTAAAGTACCTCTTGCGCGTCTAGATAAACTTTGTTGCGAAAGAGAACGATCTCCCCAGCTTCATCCATGGCGAGGACGAGCTTCCTCGCTTCGTCGGAAGAATCAGCCAGTCCCATCTCCTTACACAAGCTCGCGAGCTCCGTGTAGTCCATGCAAGGGCACTCCTTGGTGTGGAGCTGCTTCTTGAGAGCCTGGACGTTTACCTGGCGAATCAAGCGCTTGGCCTCCTGGACGGTCATACCCCCTTCTCCTCCAGATTTTTCCACCTCGTCGCAGAAGAATCGAGCTTGCCGGAGAAACCCCCACGAATCGACCGCATTCTTCCTCGAAATCACTCGCGGCGACGCTGGCGCGACGATTCTCCGCCAGTAGCCGCCGCCGCGCCTGCCTAGGGCTTGCGCTAGGGCTCGCGTCGCCATGGAGGAAATGCGCCTTCTCTTTCTCTCACGATCGCATTGGAGCACGCGCCATACTATGAGGAGAAAGGATTCGATCGAGAAAGCCCCGCGATCGCGATTGCGAGCTCTTGTCTAGCTCCCACGATGGATCAAACACGAAGAAGAGGGAAACAAGGCCGTACCTATGGCGCTGTTCGTACGCTCGTGGACGCTGCATTGGACGCGTCCTAGATTTTCAGCTGAATAGCCCAGCCCTAGAAATACTTTTTGGGCGCCGCCAAGGGCTGCCACGTGGCCATGACGGTGCACGCACGATCTTTGTCAACTTTCAAAATTTGCGAGTGCGTTTTGTGCTTTTACCCCACGCGAAAAGAGAAATTCGTGGGAAAGTTAACCGTTGCTTATTATTGGTAAATTTTTTATTTATCATAGAAATTTTACTAATTCTATGTTACAGGTAGAAATTTTCAACATTTTAAGCACACCTTGGGTACACGCTTTTGTTTCTTGGGGGCGTGGATCTTATCGAGGAGCTTGGCTTGGAATTCATCCAATATTGATTGATAAGGTCCAAAAAGTTTGAGCTTTGAACAATAAGATAGAATCCAACACGAACTCTATCCCAACAAGACAAAGCTTGCTTGTTACACGTTTTTCGTGGCGAACACGATCATGGAACGATCATAGCAATGGATCTTTCTATACTATAATCATTTGGCTTTATACGAAATCAGCATGCTGAGTAAGATCGTTCTTTCTCATCTTCAAGTCCTTCACGTCAGGTATTCTGTGCTGGAATCCATCCTTCGACATGAGAATCTATACGTCGAAGGTGTTAAAAGACTGTCAATATGAATTTAATCTTACTTTGGCTTCCCAAAACTCGTTCTCCTGAATCTTGGCTTCCGCAGCTAGCACTCGATCTAGAAAAGATAGACAAATCAGTATACTAGAAGGACGATCTCTATAATCTTGAGAAACTTACAAGTTAGACTTGGGAATTGGTGGTAAATCGGTGAGTCGCTTCGCAGAAGCCAAAGCCGGGCGTGCACAGCGCAATCTGACACAGCTAGCAAATGCGAGAGGAACACTGATCTTGGAGGGCGAGTTATGAAGAGCGATCGAGCCAAAGAACTCCGAGACGAGGCCTCGAGGAGAGATTTGGCCTGGGCGACTGTCAAGGCGCCCCAGCTAAACCCAAAGTTGTCGAGCTCCACCGATCGCAAGCCCTGCCCAATGATTTCTTCGCACTGTGTTGCAGATGGAGCGAAGCGTTGCGTAGCGTTGTAGAGTTCTGTGATCTTATCGCGCGTCATCCACAAGTGCTTGTGAGTGGCGATTTTTTGCTGGATTTTTGCGAAAACGGCTGTCCAAGCTTGACCCTGTGATAGATTATGATGAGAATGTTTTAATTATCATAGGATCACAAATCTACTTACTTCGGGAAAGATGGAAAAATACGGTGAATGCACCACCTTTGTAAGTACGTCCCACCTTGATCAAAGAATGAATGTCAATACAATCCGGCTTTTGGATCTTTGAAGATTTCTTACAGCAAAGGGCGCTTGACTACCAGTATGACCTCCTCACTCTCCTCAACTGTGATAATTCTGATAATTCCAACATTGATAAATAAGTTTCATACTAGTTTACGTAAACTTACTCTTCTTCATTCGCAGTGTCACCCCTTCTATTACTGCAAAACACGTTGTTAACAAACAAGGAAGAAGATTTCAAAGAAAATTTACTATAATTCTTCGAGGGCTGTGAAAGCAGGAGTCAAATCATCAAATCCATTAAGACTCTGCGAAGAGAGGTCTTGCCCAAAGTTGACGAGCTTTCTTAGTTCTTTGGAAGCTGCCAGTGGCTTCCCTTTGAGATGATTCGAGACGTAGAGAAGGGCCAAGAAATAGTAGAGGTGGGCATCCACAACGAGCGGGCAAAGATTATCCGATAGAATCACGTTGCTGGCGCGGAACGAAGCCTCCGCGTCTAAAACGTCCTTGTTGGCGGCCACGAGAATTTCCTCGTCCACAAGCCCAAGCTCGTACTGCGACTTCACGTAGGAGAGAACTCTTTTTGATACCTCCATTTGTGAGACAAGGAAATTAGGGCAGGCCATCTTTTATCGAAGGTTTAGGGTTCTTGGGCGATGGCGAACGAGGAGGAGGACGCTAGCGAGCTCAAGCTTGGCGAGGGTATGTGAGCTTTCTAGTTCCTAAGAGTAGGATTAGGCCTAAATGGGAGAAGATGTCGCGGACATTGAAGCGATCGGCGTTTCCTTTGTCTAGCGATTTGATTTTGGCTCTTGGATCGATTCTAAGTTTTTCTTTTGTAGATTTCTTGAAGGAGAAATGCCTGATGAATGCCGAAGTGGCCAAAATCCTCCAGCACAAGTACGACACTGCGAATCAAATGAGCGACGATCCTTCCAGTCAGTTGTCCCAGTAAGTTTTGTGTTCTTCGTGCTCTTGGTTCTCTCCTCACCACGGGGACTTGGCAGAGTCTTCGAGAAGTCCTTCGCTTATGTCAAGCGCTTCAGCCGCTACAAGAATCCGGAGGCTGTCCAGCAAGTTCGAGAGTAAAAATCTAAACTTTTCTCTTTCCGGTTTTGGAAGAATCACACTGACTTTGCTTCGTTTTCCCCTCGTTCCAGAGTTTTAAGCAGGAACCAGCTCGCAGAGTTTGAGGTATTCCCTGGAAAGTTTTTTTCCCTGGTCTTGAATCTCATTTCTCTTGCTGCTCCAGGTTTGCGTTCTTGGGAATTTATGCCCAGAGACTGTCGAAGAAGCCACTGCTTTAGTCCCGTCCATAGCTGTAAGAAAAATGGATTTTTTTCTTTCTTCTGGTTTTATGTTTGATTGTTCCAGAAAAAAGGTCGCTTGGACGACGAAAGAATCGAACAGATGCTCGCGGATCTCGCAAGAATCAAAACATTCGAGTGAAATTAAACTTCTCTATGTGCTCGCAAATCAAAACATTCTCTGTGCAGTATATACGACTTCAAATTCCAGAGAAGGCAGCGTTTAGGGTTTAGGGTTTAGCCCAGAGAGGCGAGCGCGATGGATCCCAATCAGGTTGCCAAGGCGTTCGTGGATCACTACTATTCACTCTTCGACACGAATCGCCCGGCGCTGGCGGGTCTGTACCAGGATGGATCAATGCTCACGTTTGAGGGCGAGAAGATCCAGGGCGCTGCTAGCATCTCCGCCAAGCTCAATGGATTGCCCTTCCAGCAATGCCAGCACCAAATCTCCACTGTGGATTTCCAGCCCTCGGGCGCCGGCAGTGGCATGCTCGTCTTTGTCAGCGGCAGCCTTAAGCTCCAAGGCGAAGATCATCCTCTCAAGTTTAGCCAGGTTCGTCTTGTCTTTTCTTTCTTTTAACGTTTCTTTGCCGGTTTTCTTCCTTCCATTTCTTCTTTTCTTGTCCTCTTTCCGTAGCGCTCTTTGATTTGAACTTTTGGACTGTTTTCTTATTTCTATTTTGATTTTTTATTGCAGTTGTTCCATCTCATCCCGACTCCACAAGGAAGCTTCTACGTTTTCAATGATATTTTCCGCCTGAACTACGGCTAAATTGAGTTAGATCTTCTAGACTTTTCTGGTGTGAGCTCAAAGTTCCTGGTTTTATTTAAGGTGTTATTTTTAGAAACCTTTTTAAATTATCATATACTGTAGCTAGATTATAGTTGTGCATTTTTTTCCTTAATATATTTGTGTTTTTAGATACATGTATGTATATATATGTATTACCTTAACTTTAACTAAGTAATACATTAATTATATGGACCATCTATTTAGAATTGAATTTGGTCCATTCATTCTTATATATAAATAAGGGTTTAAACCCCAATTAATATATTTATTCTTATATCCCAATCACTCATATTGCCCAAACATTCATAATGTTTGTTTTTTGGAATATTTTGAATTTTTTCAGACTTTGGTATAGCTTATACATCTCTGTAAATCTTTAGTTTATTATTCATGATTATAATTTGTTTAAAATTGGAAAATTGATAAAGTTTACTATAATATCTTTCAAAAATATAGAAATATATTTGATATGGTTGGTTTTTAAAATTGTGGTTGAATTTAGGATAAGTAGTTTAAAATTTAGGATAAGTAGTTTTATTATAACACTATAAATTTTAAAGAATTTATTTACTTTTTTAATTTTCTAATCCATAATTATATTTAGTGATAATATATTGTAAGCAACCGAAGAGAATGGTGAATAGTCTTGGGATACTTAAGGTTAAATGTCCTTTGGTTTAAGTAATATTGAGAATGATCTATGAGGAAAGAAGTTTACACATTAAACTGTTTATTTTTATTTTTATTTATGAACAAATAAAATATATAAAATATATACCTAATATTGGGAAAATAAATATACTCCACAATAAAAACTGTAACATGTTGCTATCCCACTTATCTATAACCAAAACATTTAGTAGAATATGCTTAAAGAAATGAAAAAATGCTCGTTAAATATTAAGAATATCCTTCTCAGCCATTAATGTTTGCTAATATTTATAAATGAAATCCAACTTGGTGAGCTAATAGCTTTGCTTTAGACAATTTAGGAGATCTACAATATAAGGAAGTTGGATATACATATGGAATTGTTATATTGTTCAATGGATAATAATCAATACATAATCAAATACCTCTATTAGACTTTATTAGAAAATGAAGATCACAAGCCTAAGGATAAGTTAGCATAAATAACAATTTTCTCCAATATCTCTTTAATATTGACTTGCAAAATCGCAATATTTTAATCTCCTAGTGACCAATGCTAAACATATATCTTTATCAAATGAGGTTATCTCTAATATGAATAGGAGGCGTCTGTAAACTCTTGAGTTTAGACTTTAAACCTTTAATTAATTGGAAAAAAAGAGTGCACTCTTATTTATGGGCTTTTTCTTTCTATATTGAAACTTTATAGATAATCTTTGATTATTTATAATCCATTATGTTTAACTTTTGAAAGCCTCGCTCTATTGATGGATTGAGGCTAAATTGGAACCTTCTAGATGTGGTGTGATTCCTTTAGCAAATCAATAGAGTTGGGATTTAAAACTTTTTTAATACCAAATATAATTTAAGCTTTTTAAGAGGTTATCCAGCCTATATTACTCAAGTCTAAAGACATTTAACCCCAAATATCCCAAAGTGCACCCTTTTTTAAAGGTCTTTATTTATGGGTTCTTTCCCTCTATATTTTAATTTTATGAATGTTTTTTAAGTCATTCTCTGTAATTAATTATAACATTACAAAAGATAAATTGAAGTTGAAGAGATCAATATACTCTTTCTTGAGCTGATCAATTGACATTTCATAAAAACTATTTGAGGAAGGAAAACAAAAGGAAATAAAGGTGATATAAAAGTAATTGAAATAAATATAGAAGAAAATTTACAAAGTGAAATAAAAGTGAGAGTAATGAAAAAGATATAAAGAGGTATGAGACAAATGAAGAAGCTTCATAATCATTTATAATATAATTTTTCTTCAATTAATTTACACTAAGGATGAGGTTAAAAACTTGATTTGGCACTACCTAAACTTAGAACTCAAACATGTGATCAGCCACACATATTCCAATTGTTTTATCCTTATTCATACAATAGGCTAAGTGGAATTCAAACCTATTATAAAGAGGATATTAAATAACTTTTTATTATAAAAATAAACTTGAAAAACCAGATAAACTAGTGCTAAATGAACCCCTCAATAATACACTCAACAAAAGGATGGAGGAGTTACTAATTTATTCATTCAAAGACCTTTATTACTCATATAATTGCTCAATTCTTTAAAAAAAATTTTGTATCAAGCTTTTCCATTATAACAACATCAATAGCATGTTGTCCATGCCAAAGTCTCTACCTAGAAAATATAAAACACTAATTTGTGAAATGACCTAAATTAAAATATTCCTAAAAGAATGTTTTAATCCTCATGAATTGTTATATGTACCACTTGAATAAAATCATCCCAGGAATGATAAATGATAATCACTATAAAATGATCAAACCAATTATATACATAGAATTCCCATAAAAAACAATTAAAATTTAGTAAGAGCAAAAAGATGAGTTGCACATGTGTTGTGAATGCCACTATAAAGTGAGTTTAATTATCTAGTTGCAGCCATAACACAATTGAGAAATTACAATAATTACTACTCCACAAACAAAGTATTTGCCACACAACCATTATTGCCTCTTGCCAAAAAGAGGAGAAACTAAAGAAAAAATAGTGAAAAAACCACAATAATACACACATACACAGATATATATATATATATATATATATATATATATATATATATATATATATATATATATATATATATATATATATATATATATATATATATATATATATTCCTGTTGTTATTTTAAATTAATACAAATTTAGGGTATGCTGCCTATAATCACCAAGTCCTTAGGATGAAAAAACAATTATAAAAAAAAATTAAAAAAGTGTAGTAAAAAACAAGGCACAATCAATATTACTTTTCACCTTCACTAATGTGAGAGTTTCAAATATAGAAATCTACATTTGTATTAGTTAAAACATTAGTTTATATACAAGAGTGAGTTGCTTGGATTGAATTTAATCTAATGGTTACCAAAATATAACTATGTTAATAATAGTATATGACATTTATAGTTCACATTTAGACATCACAACCTTAACTAAGTAGCAAATTTTTCTTTTGCTTTATTTGAACGAATTAATCTTGATTATATACTAATTGATTTCATTAAAGAGTATCTCCATATTTTTAATTGATATTTCTTCATCTAAATAATATAATGCACTATTGATGTTTATCTATTGTATTTTATCATCATTTAGGACTAATAGTTAATTTTCTTAGCATGATGTATTTTTTTTAATAAATTTAATAAATTATTATATTTATCTATACTATATAATATAATTTTAGCTTAGTAGTAGTAGATCATACTAGTTTTTCTATAAAAGGTCATCCCTTTAATTTATGACATAGACATATAGATGGCATATATTTACTAGTTTTGTTTATAAAAAGAAAATAAAAATAAAAATAAAAATAAAAATATCAACTAAAATACTGCTTATTATATCAATTATAAAATTGTTTTTATGTATAATATAACATATTAACTTTGGAAAAGTACTTTATTAAAATTCCTTTGATTTTTATAAATTTTTGATTAAGTTTTATATTCATAAATTAAGTATGTATCTAAAGTTTTGGAAATACTTAGATTATATCTTCTATCGTTGGACAGTTTTTAAATTATATAAATTTATTTTAATTAATTATAAATATTTTAATTTTCTTTAGACTATAGCCATTAATACTCTATAGCTAAATAGTTATTAATGCATTTTATCCACACACATTAGCAATTCCTATGGATGATGTAAAATATTTTTGCTGAGTATTATAATGACTCATAAGCGTATATAATTTTAATATGCATTTTATATTAAGTAATATGCATAAAACAATTTGATTTTATATAAATCAACATCTATAAAATTTTGATGTTGAATTTTATTTAAGATTTCTTAAAATAGAGATAAATTAAAATGCAATTTTCAATAGATTTACTTGTTCTTTTTGTGACGTGTACTTATAGATTGTTCTAGTACACTATTTTACACTATAATTTTTAACCTTAAACACTTAAAGCAAAAATTCTCTTTTATTTATTTAATAGAATTTATTTCTGAACACTAAAGAGGTTAAAGTTTAACTATGAATATTGGACCTTTTGTTGGATTCATGCGCCTTGCAGCAAGAGCAGCCATATTATATATATACACACGTTTACCCCCACTGGATTCTTCTTACCGCGTGAAAGAAAACCTATCGGGGATTGTCTTATTTCTTTTTACTCTTTGGTTGCTGCTGGTTCTTGTCTCGATCCTTGCTACAAAATGTTGCTAGCCGCGATACGCTAGTAAAACCTAGAAATTTGAAGCAATGGAAGTTATGTAAATATTAGTCTGAACGAGTTCTTACCTGGTTCACATATCTTCTACCTCGACGGTTTTCACAGGCCTTTCATAAAAAACCATGTCTTCATCTGTTCCAAAGTATCTGTCGCCAAACTCACCCATGCCTGGCACCACTCTATAGTCGTCGTTGATACCATCGTCAATCTCCGAGGTGACGATCTTGAGGGTCGGATACTTCTTGCAAACTACGTGGATTCCCTCCGGTGCCTGTAGGAGTGAACAAAGTTGTGGTTTGATCGATA